TTTTTAGTTCTTTTCAAACATGTATTTGTTGTGTAACTGCCTACAAATAAACTATATGTGCACATGAAACTTCTGCAAGTAGTGAAATATATAAATATCTTTTTATATATATTTTATTACTTATCTCTCACTCTCTCTCTCCCTCTCTCTCAAATCTGCCCCATAACCTATTGGGTTTGTAGGGGGAACCATATGTACTGCATCTGTGTCAGCAATGGTGTGTCTCTTGGGCAAGCAAGATAGTCTGATGCCACATTATACAGGTGAATTGTTTAATTACTGCAGAACTACACGCATACATGTTCTTTGTCAGATGCACACTTATGCCATGACAGCATTGTGTATTTCTTCAGCAGTGTCATGAGGTGGAGATCGCCTGTTGATGGTTGATTGAATGGTGCTCTGAGGATTCGGTTATGTAAATAGATTCTTCAAGTGATGACTATTTTGTAAATAATTTAAACCTTGGGGAGTGACACCTTCCAGAGTGCATTTGTCTATGATACCTAAAAGAGTACCAGATTTTGGGTTTGTGTATGTCCAGCATATTGTTTTAACCTGATCTGCCCTTCCTGCAACAGGAAGGTGATGGACAGTTCCTGCAGAATAGTGCTTACCCACATTGTGCCTATGCCACTCAGCACTCTTTGCAAGAATAACTTCCTTGACCAGAATGATCAACAGACCTGCCCCCAATTGAACATGTCTGGAACATGATGGCACAATGCCTGACTCATTTATACAGCCCACCTATATCTCTTGCTGTATAATTAACAGATGTAAGAGGCATGAAATGATGTAACCCAGAATATATATTGTTTGTTCAATCATGTGAGATTCCCAACCTATATTAATGTCCAAAGAGGATCTACAGTATATCGAGACATACTGTTATTATTTTGGGACCTGTGTTCATATTGATCTGTATATGATAATTTTTTGTTTTGTGGAAACTGTAGCAGATATTGGTTGCAAAACCTTATTTTTCACAACCATTGGCTATGTATTTCGATCACTTATGAACAAAAGTATACCTACTATTTTTGAAAAACTGCACCAATGGAAATGTCCGAAATTTTAGATAAAGAGCAATGCCTTTGACCTAACTGTGCTCACATCCACTGTTTGGTCTCTGTAAATGTTGATGAATTAATGAATATTAAAGAAGGCAGTTTCACATAAAGGAACTATATACTTCTGCTTTATATTGTCTTTCGTATTGGATGCCATTTTTTGGGAAACTGCCATTCTACTACTGTTTGTAACAAATTAAAAAATGTTCAAGTCCTACTGGTAACATAATGAAATAAGAGCCTTTACTTAAATTTAATTAGATAAATATTTAATCTATTCCTAAACCAAGTATTTTAATTCATTATCAAATGTGTAGACGTGTGGTGAGTTTTTCTTTCCTTTCCTGAAACTGTTGCATTGAAACTCGTTTTTATTTTTAACCATGTCATATATTGGACAACAAGAGATATGTTATTCAAGAATGACAGCTTGCAACCAGAATTACAGCTTCATTTTAGAAAGTATAAACTCTTAACAAGTTTTATGCAAAATTTTGTCCCTCTTGTTTAGCAATACAAAAATAATTAGTTATCTACTATTTGCTTATGATGCAGAATATAACATGTTTCGTTTTTAGATTATGGATGAAAATGTTAAATTTCATATTAGGAAAAGACTTTCCAACTTTTTAACATTATTTAAAATAATTTGTCACCTTTTTTCTTTTTCTCCCTCTTTCTTTTCTCCCCTCTCTTCCCTCTTTCTTTTCTCTCCCTTCTCTCTTTTCCCCCTCTTTCTTTTCTCCCCCTCTCTTCCCTCTTTCTTTTCCCTCTCCCCTTTCTTTTCTTCCCCTTTCTTTCTTTTCCCCTCTCTTCCCTCTTTCTTTTCTCCCCTCTCTTCCCTCTTTCTTTTCTCCCCTCTCTTCCCTCTTTTCTTTTCTCCCTCTCTTCCCTCTTTCTTTTCTCCCCTCTTTTCTCCCTCTCTTCTTTTCTTTTCTCCCCTCTCCCCTCTTTCTTTTCTCCCCTCTTTCTTTTCTTTTCCCCTCTCTTCCCTCTTTCTTTTCTCCTCTCCCTCTTTCTTTTCCCCTCTTTCCCTTTTCTTTTCCCCCTCTCTTCCCTTTTCTTTCTTTTCTCCCCCTCTCTTCCCTCTTTCTTTTCTCCCCTCTTCCCTCTCTTTTCCCCCTCTTTCCCTTTTTTTCTCCCCTCTCTTCCCTCTTTCTTTTCTCCCCTCTCTTCCCTCTTTCTTTTCTCCCCTCTCTTCCCTCTTTCTTTTCTCCCCTCTCTTCCCTCTTTCTTTTCTTTCTCCCCTTCTTTTCTCCCTCTCTTCCCTCTTTCTTTTCTCCCCTCTCTTCCCTCTTTCTTTTCTCCCCTCTCTTCCCTCTTTCTTTTCTCCCCTCTCTTCCCTCTTTCTTTTCTCCCCTCTCTTCCCTCTTTCTTTTCTCCCCTCTTCCCTCTTTCTTTTCTCCCCTCTTCCCTCTTTTCCCTCTTTCCCTCTTTCTTTTCTCCCCTCTCTTCCCTCTTTCTTTTCTCCCCTCTCTTCCCTCTTTCTTTTCTCCTCTCTCTTCCCTCTTTCTTTTCTCCCCTCTCTCTCTTAGAACTTTCACAACTTACTAGCTTTTTGGTGTCAGATATCTACCCAAATTATTGCTTTCAAAATTTTTCACCTTAAAATTTTTTTTTCTTTTCCCCAGGCTTCCAGAAAACCAACCATATTTGGATATTTATTTGTATCACCAGATTTGGATTTTTCTAATCCTTTGGATAAAGCAAAGGTAAGTTATTTCACATCTATTGCTACCTGATTAACATAAAGCTCAAAACTCGAACCTGTGTCCTATACAGAACCGTCATTTAGCTTGACATGCCTTTACCGATTTGGCCACAGTAAATACAGTAAATTTGACCTTGCTAACCGAACGCGCCTCTGGCCAAATTGGTAAAGGCACATCAAGCTAAATGACGGTTCCGTATAGGATACAGGTTCATATCCTGTCGGAGGACAAATATTTTCTGTGAAAATTTCTCGGACATTCAGACCGGTAAATGTTGTTTAATACTGTTTATTATAAACAGAGCATTTACTTAAATATTTGTATCTATAAAAAGAATGTATAAACATAAAAATGTCTTAAAATAATCGTCAGATTTTGTCCATTTCATTATTTACCCAGTTATATTTTCTGATTGTTTTTTGAATTTGTAAGTCTGATGAATTGGATCGTGATTACAATTCCAATGTAATAAATTATAACCATGGAATATTAGTTTGAACCTTTTATATTATATTCTTACTCTGTCTTGGACATTGGGTTCTACCTGGATTCTATCCTCTTGGGAATATATAATATGCAAAAAAAGTTTACATAAAAGAGATACAGACAAGTGATTGCAGCATTTTGGCAAGGAGAAAAATGTTAGCATGCATTGGTATGATTTTTCTATAAATATTGGGTGGGGGATGTTTTTGCAATCATTCCTACTTTTCTTTTGAAATGTCACACACACACACACACACACACACACACACACACACCTGAAACTTCTAGACATGTACTCCCCCAGACCAGCAAATTGACAAATAACATTCAATTCACTATTAAATAATTATGGAGTTTTATTAAGTTGAACTGAAACCTCTCTTTTTGCCTATTTATATTCAACCTTTTTTTAGGTGTCAGTCAATCCAGGTAACATTCAGGAAATTTTAATCTCATGTTTTGTTTTTTTTTTTTTTTTTTTCTTGGAACCTTGTAAATTAAATAAAAGGTTTAGTTTGAAATTCCCTGAAGGTACCCTGCTCAATGCAGCCCTGAAGAAAGACAGAGGGCACAATGGAAAGAACATTACTCTGAATATAAATAATTCCTCATCCCAGAAATTTTATGCTACAGAAGTCAACATGATATCTGATCAAAAAGTATTGGGACTGCTGCTATGTTCTTCACTTCCATTGTTTATCGGAGTGCATGGAAAGAAAGTGTATAGAGTATGGTCATCTTCTCCATCAGTGACCATAGTTTGTGCAGTAGTTTATGACTAGGGGCAACTATATTCCCCAGGCCTGACAACCATATTCTACAGATCTTCTTTTTCAAACATCAAATCCAACTTGAAAGGAACAAGATACACATTATCCATCGTTGTTGCCATTGATAGAAGTATCTCTGGAATTCCATTTTTTGGGATAGCAAGCAGCCGCCTCGTCACACTTTCTTGGATTTCCTCAATGTCTTGAAAGCTTTAGAAGAGGACTACTTCAAAGGAGATTAAATGCTGAATTGATATGTGTTGTAGTTTTCTTTTTATGGCACCAGTCCTGACACTTTCGATTTGACCCTGTATAAAGATGGACAAAGGCTAAATGTCCATTTTTAGATGTTTTTTTTTTTAATAATACAGAAGTGTTTGGCATACAGTGACAGTCATAGAAATATTTGGTGCTTACGTGACCCTTAAAATTGTTGATGTGTTCATTTTTATATTCTTCCATCCTTCCTAACCACATCTAATAACATTGTTTAAATAAATGTTATTTACTTAATGTAATCATGACTATCAGTGTTGTGTTTCCGTTTTGAAGATCTTTCAAGTCTCAAATATAAGTTCCACTTAAAATTGGTCACAGATGATTTCCTTCCTTTCTTGTATATATTTTTTTTCTTTTTTTCAGATTATTATTTGTGATAAAAATAACCAGGAAATTCTTTTGAAAAGTCTTACATTCATTTTGAGCCGTTTACTTCCCCAAATGCCCTCATCAGGAAGTGAATTTTCTTTGAAACTTTTAAATGGAATTTAATTTTTTTGAGTTTGGAGGCGGACTTGTTAACTGGTTTTACTGTTTTTGGGATAAAATTTTTTAGGTTGTTTTTCAGACATAAAAGTGGAAATTAAATGTCATTAGAAATAAATGAGTTCTGAACTGTTATGTAATATCAGTCCCTCTTATAGCAGTGAATGCTGGACAATGTCACAGATGAAGGGATTACAGCCATATCACATTGAAATAGCGGTTCTCTTTCAATCACCAAAATTAAGCAACATCAAGCCTGATCAGTACCTAAATGGGTGACTGCTTGGGAATACCAGGTGCTGTAAGCTTGGATGTGTAAGTGTGTTGTAATAGATAATGGCTTGGAATTGGAAATCAGAGAGCAGAGTTTGAATTCAAGTTGGGTTCATTATATTCACATTAAGCACATACGTATGAATACACCTGTTTCCTCTCTAGCTATGGGTTAAATAGTATGACATAAATAGTCATTATCTCCCTAAATTTCTTAAAATCCCAAAATATTTTCTGGGTTAAAATAATCTGCAAAAATGTTAAAAAAAAAAAAAAAAAAAAAATGAAGAGGAAAAAAAAGAAATGTAGTTCTACAGAAGGATGCTGAGAATACCATGGACTGAACATGAGTCCAGTGACAGTTTTATGGAAAATGGAAGCAAAAAGACACTTATACATAGAATCAGAAAGAGAGCTGAAATTTCTGAGGCATGTAGTAAGGAAAGAAGGCTTTGAAAATTTGACACACACAGGACATATTGAAGAGGAGAGGAAAGCAGGGAAGGGGAATAGTAAAATAACAAATCCTAGTAAGAGCTGCAAGAGACAGGAAATTGTGGAGAGCCATGATTGTCTACGTCCTGAAAAAGGACAAGGCATATAGAAGTTATGTCCTAAAGTTAGGAAAATGACACAAGAAAAATTTTAATTTTATTTAAATTGCATATAAAAGATTTAGGAACAATAATTTTAATTCCTTAAGAATTTGAGGGTTAAGTGTTTTCAGTGGTATCATTATGGCTGGCAAAAGAATGATTTGTTTTCTATGGCTGATCAAAGAATGAAGATGATAGGTCATTTATAAATAATTCTGTAATGATTTTAATAATTCAGATGGCCTTGAAGATTGCATTTAAGCATGAAATACTGTCATCATTGGGTGTTGACCACAGTATCCACTTTTATATTTACTCTATCCTCTTTTATTGAGCACTTGATTTCATAAATATGGCATACCTTAAAACCTTATCATATTTTCTTAAGTATTGTTTTGTCTTTGCATTTTCCATGTTGACAAGAAATCAAATGTTCACCTGATGATTGCATACTAAATGCACACCTGAAGCTCCGAGTGAAGGCTAACCATTGGAGACACCTTATGACTAACAAGAATAAAATATGTGTGTGTGAAGTAAGTTTCACTAAATTCAACAGACATGGTCTGTCTGTTAATTAGACTTTATAATTTTTTTCATATCCAATGGATAAAAGTGGTGGTTGAGTGATCCAAAAATGACTTGACCCAGAGAGTTGTGAGTTCAATACCTCACCATAGCAGAGGGAACAAAAACTTGGGAAATTAACTGAAACTGAGATATCCAGAAAAGGCATGGCACGTGGAATTAGAACAATCTACCTCCATGGACTAAATAAAGGGTATGGTTCAAAATTCCAACAAATATCACCTGAAGCATACAACAACCGAAACAGTTGGAACAGTGTAAATAGTCAGATATAAATATTTGATACATTCTTTTCCTGTGCAGTCTACCTCTGAAAACTCTTATATATGACATTACTAATGATATTCAAATATTTAGATGGATTCTAAATTTATTATTAAAAAAGAAAATTTGGCGATATAACCTCCAGAATGTTGTCTAACATTGTGACAATATCCAGTTATTGATGGTTGAAAGCCCTTCAACTGATCAAAACAAGGTCTTTGGACATTTTATGAACAATTTGTGTTTTTTTTTTTTTTTTTTTTTTGGACATTGTTTTTGAAAACCTGGAAAAGCACAAATTTTGGTTGATTTTTAACAAAACTTGTTTGGATGAATTCTTCCCTTTTTTTATAAGTAGTTTACAATTTACTCTATTTTTGGTTTGAAGATCACATTGACACATGAAACCGACAGCACCATGCGCTATTGGTTCCTGTGTCCACACATCAACTATAATATTAGCTGTTTCCTTTATAAAGAAACGTTCAGCATTTATTGTCTGAGCAGTCAATGCTGCTTTCAGTTGAAATTTATAAAATCTTAAAATAATTTTTCAGGAAAATAAGTTTCTCAAGTTTAATAACTGTTGTTGCTCTTTCAAGTATTGACGAGGGTGGGGGGGTTGTTTGTTTATTTTTTATTTTAATCATTCCAACCCAAGCAAGGCAATAAAGTAGGTACCTCCACAGGCCATACCTAAGGTTTAAAATGAATTTTTAAAATTAAATCTTTCTTGAAGCTTTTATTTTAGCTTTAATTTCAAGCTGAGAGATTTAAATTTAATATTTCCAATAAGCAAAATACTCTGCTGTATTTCAAAACTATTTAAATTTTTGTTTTGAAAATGTGTTTTAGTATCATTTTATTAACCATTTGCCATCATTATGTAATAATGTAATTCTCTTTATTAAAAAAAAAATCTTTCAAAAATAATACTTTTCTGAAAACTTAAATATTAACTGATTTAAAGTTTAATTAATCTGATTTAAAACCAATATTACTTACCTAATTTTAAATATTGCAGGAATTCATTTTTTTAACACTGGTAGCTGTATATTTAAGGTACTGACAGCTTCAATATTCATTAAAAAAAAAAAAAAAAAAGGTAATTTGCTTTCAGTTAAAGAACTCTTCTTTCTTTTTTTTTTTCTTTACTTTTCTTTACTAGTTTACAATTTAGTATTTATATCTGATTAAATTACTGTAACATTGAAGCAAAAATAAATTGCTTCTAACCAGGTCAGACATTGCATCCTATAAGTTGCTGTATTAACCTATTCAATGCTTGTTTACCTGAGTGCGAAATCAAAATGTCACATTTTCTGTTGAATTGTTTTGGCACTGGGTGTTCAGTTGTTGGGTCTAATTTTTAGACATACTACAGGATCTCTGGTAGGATAGTTGTCTGAAAATCTCTTTTGCAAGAGATGTCTTATTTTCCTTAAACCCCAAATGATAACTTTTAAGGTTATATAGAAGCAAAGGAGCACTTCTATACTTTGCTCGTATTATTAATTAGATAATGAAAAAAGGATGACAAATGAAAAGGAGACAGCAAACAATGCCAAAGTATGGCACAGAATATAGGAGATTACACAAAGAAATAGGAACAAATGTAGGCAGGCAAAAGAGGAATAACTCGATGAAAAGTGTGTAGAAATGAACATTACCGATAAAGCAGATATGCATGAAAGAATAAGAGAATTAATAAAACAAAGGATATGCTTCACAAAAGGTTGCATAAAATCCAAACACTGATAATAGAGAAAGAAAAAATAATACTCCAGACATGGAATGAATAAATTGGCAAACATTTCCATGATGAAAGAGTAAAACCCACAATAAAAGAATCTTGAAGGACCAGAACTATTAAAATCTGAAGTGGAATTGACACTGGCCAAATTGAACAAGAACAAAGCAGCAGTAGGATCTGATAGAATTGAAAGCAAGATGCTGGAAGCTTTAGATAACTTTGGCATTGACAAAATTAGACATAATGAATAAAATACACAGAGTGGTGATATACCAGAAGACCCAAGTCGATCCATTATCATAGCACTGCCTAAACTAAGTGCAAACAAAATACAGACTATCTGACAATCAACCTAATGAACCACATAAAAAAACACAAAACAAAAAAAAAAAAAAAAAAAAACTTATGATCTGTTTTCTGATGAACAGAGCATACAGCAGAATGTGATCAGAAATAGGACAAGAGCAGTGTGGGTTTGTTAAAGAAACTGGAACAAGAAATGCAATATTTATGCTCAAAAATGATATCAGAAACAGCAATACAAATGTAAAAGGATGTGTACCTGTTTTTATAGATTATGCAAAAGTATTTGATAAAGTACATTACTAAAAACTGTTTGAACTGCTTGGTAAGCTTTATTTGAGAAGGACATGAGAATTTTAAAACTGGGAGCAAATTGCTTGCATATGGAAAGAAAAATTCAGTAAATATATAGAAATAGAAAGGGGTATAAAACAAGGATGTACATCTTAAACTTATTCAACGTTTACAATGAATTAACCCTGAGAGAACTAGAAGTCCGAACAGGATTCATTATTAGCAGCCACAAACTTAACAACATAAGATATGCAGATGACCCAGTGTTGATAGCAGACATAGAAATGAAAGTACAAATCTGCAGAAGGTAGTAAAGGAAAGCAAGGACAAAACAGCAGTTGTAAGGAAAGGAGATGTATGATTGTCCGCAAAAAGAAGAGCCCATCATAAGAATTAAAATTGGAGATACCGAAATTTAAATATCTAGGAAGTATTTTAAAAGAGAATGGGAAATGTGGCAACAGATTTGAAGGGATGTTGGGAAAGATAGTTAAAAATGCCCTTCAAAAACTAAGCAGTCTTAAGAAATGGGAAAATTTCATTAGAAACAAAGAAAAGTGTACTGAACTATGTTATGTAATATCAGTTCTCCTATATGGTAGTGAATATTGGACAATCTTGTCAAATGAAGAGATTTGAGCCAGCAGCAATGTGGTTCTATAAAGTTTTAAGGGAAATGGAAGCAAAAAGGACACTTCTACTTAGAATCAGAAAGAGTTGAATTTTCTAGGGCACTTAATGAGGAAAGGAGGCTTTGAGAATTTGATACTCAGAAGGCATATTGAAGGCAAGAGGGGGAGAGGAAAGCAGTGCATAACCCCTGCCTTACACAGTGCAGGATTAGGAGATAACAAAGACAGCTACAACGTACAGGACACTGTGGAGATCCATGATTGCTGATGGCTTACAGAGACAAGGCACATAGAAGACAATGACTGGTATAAAAAATGTCAGCTCTTATATAAATATTTTGTGTCAACCCTTTATTTAAGAATGAGAACACTTACTTGACAAAATCTTTGTGACAAAATGAGAAAGATTGATGTGTATGTGCGTGCACGTGCGCTTTTTCACATTTAGCTTAAAACTTATTGAGTCTCTGTGTTGGGTGCTCTGTTGCCCAAATGTATCTCTCTCTCTCTCTCTCTCTTTGTGCCCCCCCCCTCCAGATGCCCTTGCTCCTGTCTGGCCACACATGTGGCCTTGTCTTATCTTGTAACATTCCTGACACCCAT